GAGAACACATCAATAATGAGTAGACGCAATCAAAGTGAGTTAGGATTAAGTACAGGGTGTCCCAAAATTCATGGAACAAAATTTGGTCGTAGATTCTTAAGACAAATTTAGGGGACCCGTATTTTTTCTTTTTGCTAACTGGCCCCCTATTTCGGAGTTACAGCCTCCTAAAATCTGCCCCTAAGAAGTCTTTTTTATATCTCAAAACCATGTTGTACGAGAATCACTAAATTTGGTTCACAGGAGTTTTATGAGATGTGGAATCTCACAGTGCTACACTTTTTAGTGATAAACCCCCTTAAGACACTTTTTCGTGGACCCCCTTGTCTTTCGAACCAGAAAAATTTGGTCGCAAATTTGATTTTTTTTAAAATTGTTAGCTAGAAAGCCATTGGATTTAGAATTATTTTTGTCTCTTGATATTTGTTTCGTAAAACGCAATGTTTTGTATTCATTCGATCACATTTTGACATATTTCTCGAAAACATTGCGTTTTACGAAAAACTATAAAGAGACAAAAAGTTTCAAAATTTAATGGCTTTCTAGTGGACTTATAATTTTTAAGAAATTTAAATATGCGACCAAATTTGTTTGGCTCCAAAGACAAGGGGGCCCACAAAAATTGTTTTAAAGGGGTTCCGCGCCAAAAAATGTAGCACCATCAGATTCCACATGTCATAAAACCCCTGTGTACCAAATTTAGTGATTCTTGTACAACAGGGTTCTGAGATATAAAAAAAGATTATTCTTAGGGGCGGACTTCAGGGGGCTGTAACTTAAAAGAGGGAGCCACTTGGCAAAAATAAAAAATACGGGCCCCCTAAATTTGTCTTAAGAATCTGTGACCAAATTTTGTTGCATGAATTTCGGGACACCCTGTATATCTGTAAAAGTAGTTTAAGTTAAGGTAGAGCTTGATTAATTAGTTTTAATTTAAAACAAAATTTCCAAATTGTGTTGTTTTTATAAAATAAATTTTTAATTTGCAAAGGTCTTTGTCTTTTAATGTAAAAATTTATATAAAAAAAATAATAAATAGTAATAAGTTCTGAGCGAGGAAGTTTAATTAATTACTGAAAAACACAAATGAAAATTAAATTTAACTAAACCAGTGGTTTGCCTGTAAGAGTAGGCTTTTGCTTTTGAGAGAAAGTAATCTAAAATCGATACAATTAAGAGGAGCAAAGTAACATAAATTTTTAATATCATAAATTCTTATTCAAATACAAACTTTTCTACTCTCAAAATTTTGGCGCCCAACGTGGACCCAATAAAAAAAACAAATTCAAAATAAATCCAACAATCAATTTTATATTTGTAATAAATAAGAACATATACATGAAAAGTTGAGATTCATATATTAACAAACCAATACATTTGTTATTTCACAGAAATATTTTGCTTTAATAAATTAAAAAACCTATAGATTTTATGGCTGTCGATTGCGATATTTTCCGATTCGGGACTCGAGAGTAATAAATGCAAGTTTATTGTACTAAGGCTGCAAGCATTTGAGGTGGTGGTAATACGTTCATAAAATTTTCATGTGCAACAACCCTTGACTATTATTAATGCATTTCCTAGAGTCATATTGTTAATGTCGCACGGAACGCAACACGTCGGTCGTCATGCTTATTTTCATTCCGGATCTCCGGGTTATGATTCTTATGGGGTGACAACTTCGTCCATAGGCCTCTTTATGTAAAAATGTATCTATTATTGTTACACAAGGTAATAAGCAATGCCATTTTCGGGCTTTGTGGATAAAAGTACAAAGTGAGATACAGATATTTCAAATGTAAAAATATTTAGGACAGTTTTGAATTAATCAAGAATACTTGAAGATACAGACCATAAACAAATGCAGTTTTCTGTTGAACGTTACCTACATATAATATTTGAACGAAATTTAAAAAGTGACGTCGAAATACATGTTCGAAACATTTCAACTGTTAAAAAATTATCTGAAGCTGGAAAGAATATTCTTATACAGGGTGTCCGTTAAAGAATGGGTCAAACTTTACCACTGGATTCTACTACAAATTAATGGAGAAAAGTCATATACAATGTTGCTCATGAACGCTTAGTTTTCGAGATACAGGGTGTTGACGTTGAGAAAATAAAAACGATTTTCAGGCATATCTCGGAGATACGTTTAGGGATTTTTTTCTGATTTAATATGAGGAGTTTTAACGGAGACCTACATCAGTTGCTGCGGTTTCACGTCAATACAAGAAACCAGTGACGTGCAAACTATATTTTCGAAACCCCTTTCTAAAAAATAAATGTTATGCTACTGCGTAAAATGGAAATAAATGACATTTTTCAAATTTTCAATGATTTTTCAGATTAATAGGTATACTTGTTGAATATCGCTGAGGAGCCGTTTTTGAAAAGACTGCGTTTAAAGTTTTCGTCGTAGAATCTAGGGGTAAAGTTTAGCCAATTCTTTAACGGATACCCTGTATAGATATAATACTCTCCAAGTTTTTTTTTTTAATTTTTGTGACAATTAAATTTACTTATGTAGTCGCCTTTGTGTTACATTTTTATCTGATTAACTGTGTAGTAAATAAATAAAACAAATACATACCCAAGTAATGATTTAAATTTTTTTATGATCTAAGGAGCTTTAATGAGAACTGATTACAAAAAATTGCTTCCACTAGCAACTCTGTTATATTACACAGACCAACAAAATTTAACTTTTTTTTTGGAAGCAGAAACTTGAATATATATTTTCGAAAGATTTAGGTGCGCTGAATCCGAATCTGGCAGCAGAATTGCTCTATCACGTCAGGTTTTTGAGATATCCTAACCTAAAAGTGCAAAAAACATTGTTTTTCGTCATATTTGTGGTTATGTAGTAAAGCCATCTATTCTTTTTCAAAAAACTAATACATTGAATCTAAAAGTACAAGGCTCCCTCCTTCGAGTGCCGTTGAGTTTGTTCAAATATCTTTTTTTTTTTTCGTTGAGATATCACACGTTGAAATTTTTAAGTTTCTCAGTTTCTTAATATGCGAAAATCTATTAAGGATCCCTTAGACATCAAGCAGTCGATTGGAATTCAGAAACTTCATACCCATACGGTTCATGGGTTTGGAGTTGGTGGGCTTGGGGTTTGTAAGCTTGGAGTTTGTAGGTTCAGGTTTTGTGAGATTGGGGTTTGCGGGTTTACGGATTGTGGGTTTGGGGTTTGTGGGTTTGTGGATTTGGAGTTTGTTATCCTTTGACCTTCCTGATCCTTAGTAGATTTTCACATATTAAAAAACTGATAAACTTAGAAATTTCAACATGTGATGTCTCAAAAAAAAAGATATTTGAGCAATCTCAACGGCATTCCAAAGGGGGAGCCTTGTACTTTTAAACTATATGTATTTTTTGGAAAGGCATAGATGGCATTACTACATAACTTCAAATATGACAAAAAACAGTGTTTTTTGCACTTGTAGGTTAGGATATCTCAAAAACCTGATGTGATAGAGCAATTCTGCGGCCAGATTCGGATTCAGCGCACCAAAATCCTTCGGGAATGCATATTAGTGTGTCTGCTTCTTGACCCTTGTTGACCTGTGTTATTCATGCTATCATGTTATTAATTACTTTACTAATTACCTATTTTCTTTTCAGGTAAGTTCCTTTCTGCTAGGAATCTGCATGGTAATGTATAACCTTACATTTTTATACTTTTATTATGTACCTACTAAGAACTTTGTCTTCTATAAAATAAGGTCTTAACTTACTTTAGACCTAGAACCTTCTAGTATTAGTTAAGCGACATTTTCTTTAACATTTACTGTTCCCAATTGGTTGGTGCATTCCCGATTTAGGATCCATATATGTCTGTGTTACTAGATTCAGTACCATAGAACCTCAACATTCATTACTTTTGCTCGAGATTTGATCCACCTTCTGTTATGTACTTAACCAGCTTAATTTAAATTTTCAGTACTCAAAACTTTAATTAGCATTGGTATCTACTGCTTCTTGTGTCTCCGACATCCTCAAATTTTCTTTCAGGTACAAGCGCTTCCCCACAATATTCTTGATTGAACTTATTCTATTTCCCAGCATGGAAAAGACTTCTTCTCCACCTCTTCTTCCGAGACAATTCACCTTACTATCAGACGAAACCCACGTCTTTTCTCGCCTGTTCTTGTGTTGGCTGAAACTATGTGCTAGATACGGTTATATTCGGCTAAGCGACCAATCCTGCCGTCACTGCCTTGCTGGTGGGGACCATATCTTCTCACGTGGGGACTAGGACCATCCTCTTGTTCCACTTTAGCGTTGGTGTCGTGTCACCCGATACTACCGTACCTATTTGGGTGCTGTAAGTGCCGTGTGACTTTTCTTCTTCGTAGATTTGAAGCAGAAAAAGTTTTTGACTCTCAAGCCGTTCACTGGGACGCACGGCGTTCATAAAAAAAGTAAACTAACCCAAACACGAGGAAACCGGCACGTGTTTGGGGGTTCCCCGTTCTAATCGAGCCCGGCGAGTCGAAAATAATATCTTGATTTATGTCTC